TATACGCACGCGTGTGTTTATTTTGTACAAGTAGTTGTGTAGTTGGTATAGTTGTACATAACTGTACATGTGTATATAAATAGGTGTAGATATTTTGTACTGAGTGAACTTTCCTTTTGTACATTTCATTTGGCAAAATACGTAAACGGCCCCTTTAAGTTATCCTCAACGACCAGCTGAACACCTCAAAAATGCTAATGACCAAATAGACACTTTCTGCTAAGTTGAAATATGTCTCTTAAACTCCTTATGCTGACATGGCAAAATTTATGTGTTACACTCATATTGAAGTGCGTGAAACTCTTTAGAATTAACTTTATCCTTCTTTTTCCTAAACTTAATGTGGACCCCACCTCTTTCTTCTACAATTTTTTTCCTCCACCATTCTATGCACACCAGACCTTTCTTCTCCAATTTTTTTCTATGCAAACTTTACTAAAATTCTTTTTAGTTCGGTAGAGTGTTAGTATTTGATTGCTAAAACAACCAGGCTTATGATAATAATGGAGAATCATTGCAGAGACGACAGTAATCAAAATTTTACAATTTAAATATAATGTTAAAATATTCGAATCTAAAGACCTCATAATCATTGTTGACCTCAATCTTTTTACTTTTCGTCGTTCCATAGAAACTCATAAAGAAAAAAATACATTCCGAACAGAATTTCCATCACCATCACAACCACCGTCCTCCACTGAACAAATCCTCATTCACCGTCACAACCATGTCCATAGCCTCAATTTAATTATACACCTTTATCACATACACCAAACTACCGTAACACATTCTTCTCACCATTTTCCGTTAGACCAAACACCAATCACTCACAAAGTAAACACCAATGTCCTTTGATGTCCTGTATATCATCTCCAACAATATTACACCACCAAAGAACTACTATCACCTCCTTAATTCATTTCCCTTTACCCCAAATGTGAGAAAAAAATTCATCTAAAACCTTCTACTTTCACTACAATTGAATTTGGTAATTGGTTCTTTACTGGTGAAAATCTTCAATTAAGTGGGTTAGGACGATTTTTGATTTGGTTTTGAGAAAGAAAAAAAATGGAGGGGGTTTGGTCGGCGACGGTAACCAAATAATTGGGGTTAGCAGATGTTCTTTGGGTAGGGAAAGTTAATACATAATTTTTTTTTTAAAACAAATACTCGTGTCATTCAACGATTTGTCCGTTTGACATGTCATCCACAATTGTGACACACCCATGAGGTTTGTTGGTCCCTAATGTTTTGTTGACCTACTTTGTTAAAGGCTTGAAATGTCTAACTGAAAATAGGCTCAGCTGAGGTGTTCAGCTGGTCGTTGAAGACAACTTAAAGAGACCGTTTATGTATTTTGCTTTTTCATTTTACTCAGTTCATTTTAATAAAGAGAAAGGTTCAGAAGTTTGTCTCTAGTGCTCATTAATCTAACATTAGAGCTCGTCCAAGGTCAGCTCTTCTTCTTCATTTCTATTGATGCCTTGACAAACTCGATTAATATTATTGGGGCGTGTAGATTTTGAATTGCTTCCACAATATTCATGTACGAATAATGTCAAGGACATGTGACCTTAACTTTAGTCTAAATTCTAAAAGAAAACAGGTTGAACCACCGGATTTAACGGCTAGAATGACCGAAAATGATGAACACGACAAAGGAAAGAATAGATTTTTCCTCATTTTAAAGAATTTTTACAGTTTATTGAAATAAGGTAATGGTGATTACACCTTCACAAACGTATGTGGAGACAATACTCTTAAATTTCCTAAAAATTATAATACGTACGATAACTTGTGCCAAATTTTTAAGTGGCTACTACTTTTATGAGGTACATTGACATAAACTACGGTTACTATGCAGCATATTGGTAGGTAACTCATATATAATGATTTCTCAAGAGAGTTAGCTTCTGCCTTTTTTATTTTCTTAGTAAAAGTACTGATCCCCTCCATGTTTTTAAAAAAAAAAAAAAGATTTCGATAGCAAGAAAGACTCTTTGAATATTTGAATAATAAGATAAAAGTAATCAATATTTCTTTATGCTTGTTCCTGAAGTATGAAACGATCCATTTGTTCTTGAATAGCTTCTTTGAAAAGGGCTTCTACTTCCTCGGTAAATGTCTTGATAGAATATATGAGATTTTTTTTTTTCCAAAATGCATGTTAGTAACTTGAAACAAGTTTGGTTGAAACTCAACAAGAAACCACCCAATGATATGCTAGAATGATTAGGATCACTTAACCCTTAGCCATAGAGTCATAACAACTTCTTGGTAGGAACTGTTTTACCCTCTTAATAGGTCTACCAGGCACGGATCTGAAATAGTCAGGCAAAATACCAACCAAAAAAACCTCAACAAGAAGCACACACAGCTCGAGCTGAATCTTCATTGTTTATCATTGGAGTCAATTCCCATAAATCAGTAATAGAATCCCCTAGTAACCAAAAGGAAAGAAGGGTACAACATTTGCAGTCTACAACAATGGTAAGAGGGGAAAACCTATCAAACGCCTCTGAGTTTCTCTCCCACAGTTCCTGTGTTCTCCATTCGGACAAATTATTCATGAAAATGGAAAAAAGGGAATGTTGCAAACAATCGTTGTTTTAATGGTTGCTGAGCCAATCCATTTTTAATGTGTATATAGTAATCCTTTGCTTGATGATCCATCTCTTTGACATCAAGCTGATTCTAAGTTTTTTACAAACTTTTTCGCCTGCCAAAAATAAGATATAAAGGGTAAGCCAACTATTGTATGATGTATTTTTCAAGAGTTGCCGAGCGAAAAATTAAAACATGAAGCAACCAAAAGTTGGGGAAGCCTCTTACTGAAGCAAATGTGCTAATCTGGTATAAATTTTTATCAACTATGAATGGAAAAGAATCTGCTTTGTTAGAAATAGGGTTCCACCCTTTACCTGCTCCAATGTCAGAAACATAATGACATTCCACGATCCCAAGCGTCCAAAATTTGGGATAAAGCCTTTATAGAAAGCTAAAGGTCCCTGAAAACAAGACAATAAACAAGAAGTTGATAGAAGGAAAAAAAACTGTAATAAAGGGGTCTGATTGTTTGTATTGTAAAACTATCTTGACAGAAATGTGAGGTCATTGTTTTATTTTTAGGTAAGAGTTCTTCATTTTTTAAGAAGGCAAGATCAGTTATTAAAAAATAAAGAGGAGGGAAATTTTGTTTGTGTCTGCAATGTAGCTGGATTCTTCAACAACCAATGAGAAAGGACAGATGATGAACTCACATCATTCTTCAATGTTTTGACAAAACAATCAAGGGTATTTTTGTATGTGGAATCTCCCATCATTCGCGACTTAACCTGCATCCAGTTTACCGTGTCATCAACAGAAAGTTAATCTAATAAAATTTATGAAGTCTATTGATATTGCGACATTAAAGGATAAATTTTTGAAGATAGATTAATGTTGACATAAGAGATTACAGTATTTAGGGATGGCAAGTGGGGCGGGTTTTCTCTTAACCCGCAAAATTTCAACCCGCCCCGCCCTGCATAGCAGTTGCACCCGCATTCACCCGCCCCGCCCCACCCCACATAAGTGAATTTTTTTTTTCATTTTGTTAGTTTTAATTTTTTTTAAATCTTTTGGCTGGTTTTTTTAAAAACTTTTACTATATGTACTCGTGCTTTTTATTAATTCTAAAGATTACGGAAGACTTCGGTTATGGAAAGAAGAAGATAAGATAGTTAAGAGAATTAAATCTAGCACATATGCAATAAAAGTTACTTAACAAAATCTTTGATATCATAATACCTCTTTGTTTTTTAACTTTTTATATTTGTTAAAAGTATATATATTAATTTACCTTATTCAAGCTTTCTTTAGAAATACAAAAAATCTTTGTGAAGATCAACTAATAGATATTTTCGTTAGAAATACTAAATTTCCGAATTCGAACGGATAAATTCTTGACCATTATATACAACAACAACAACAACAAATAACCCAGTATAATCCCACAAGTGGGGTCTGGGGAGGGTAATATGTACGCAGACCTTACCCCNTCCGTAACAACCGGAAAGTGCTCGGAGTAGCCTCCTACTGTCCTAACCCGAGTCTTAACTCCATCATACATGTCTTTAATCACCCTAATGTAGGCCGTCGGGACCCCTTTAACCTCTAAGCAGCTCCATAAGACCTCCCTAGGAACTCTGTCGTA